TCCATCCACAGCCAGGCCAAGGGCTGCTCCAAGGGCCGGTCACCCGCCAGCCCCCGGGGTCAAACCTGGTGCAGGGGCTTGCACGGGCAGGGCCTGAGCTGAGCTTTGCAAGGATCCAGCGTGGAGTTCGATATCTTAGAGGCTTCTTTAAAGGGTCCTAGGTTTGAAGGATTACAGTAAGGTATTAAAGGGGAGAAATGGGACAGAAAAGAACGCTTGATGTCTTACTTCATTGCCTCACCATAAAATTCTTTTTTATTCCCTTTAAAGCCTCGCTGTCAACTGAAATAAAACTCCAGATTTCTTCCTGGGGAAGTGCTTGAGTAATAAAAAAAGGAGAATTAAGCACAATCTGTGGATTGCACAAGGGAAACCCCAAAATTAACCCTCAGATTTCAGCCCACAAAAACTCTTTCACTGATGCCAGCCGGGAAGGGAGCTGGAAGGCGCCCGGCCAGCCCGGCTGCGCTGCAAGCGCAACGGGTGAAGTCAGGGAGAATCAGCGGCACCTGAACATACGCTGGGATGAGGTCTGCTGTGGGTGGTATAAATGCAAACAACAATGTCCATCCTTGGTGCTGTTTTGTCCAAAATATGGAAGAAGCTGGTCGAAAGTGGAAAACAACAGGACTGCTGCATCCGTGTGTACACGTGAGGAGGAGGAGGAGGGGAAGGAAGGCAGCAGCCAGCTCGGGATGCGAATGCAAAACCTTCTGGGTGATGGTGGGAAACGCCAGGAAAGAGGAGCGGAGCAAAGGAAACCGGGAGAAGCAACTCAGCTTTTGGCTGGTTCTTCCCAGTTAAATGAGGACGGTACGAAGAAAAAACTCTTTAAAAATCCCCAGAACATAAAAATGGCCCCTTGACTGACGGCACGGAAGCGACGCAGTGAGTGATGTAGGTGGTATGGCAGGACATGCCAAACCTAAGCCAAAGGGGATAAAAAAACCCCTGCAAAGCTCTCGAAAGCTGGCTTTAAACGATCGTGACATGTTTTGACACCGTTCCCTGACAACAATGGCTGTAACACAAACAAAAATTAATGATGTCAAGTATTAATACTGCTGCAGCATGAACTCAACCAATGTGGTCCCAATTAAGCACGGTTATAATTTGAAAAATGACTGTGGAAATGCCGTTGCGACATTCCCCGCTCGCGCTTCTCCCGCCATCCAGCCCGGGGCCGCGCGTCTCCCCGGCGGGACGCAGCTCCCTTCCCCGCAGGGATCGGTCCCCACCTTCCCCAGCCTCGCTCGCGGCCGCTGGAGAAACACCCGAGCCCAGCCGCTGACCTACGCATCGGGAGGGTTTTTCCAGAGTAAGTTTGTCCTATTTTAGTCTGGGTTTTGAGCCACCGAGGAGGTCTCATTGCATGTTTTTCCTCTGCAAATACAAACACCCCCTGTGACACTGAAAGCTGGGGTGCTTCTGCTGTCACCGGAGTCCAGAGGCCGGGACTGGATGAAAATCCAGTGCGCAGGGATTCGCACTCCAGCTCTGAGACTTGGCAACGGCAGTCGCCGGCAATAAATAACCCCACGAACCCAGCGAGGCCAGGCAGCGTCCGGCGTGCCCACGCGAGCGCGTGGGTGCCGCGGCGCTGGCAGCCACGCAGCTCACGCAGAAGCCAGCGAAGCGCTGGAGTCTATCCGGGATTTCCAGCGAGACTGTCAGCCATGAGAAGCTCATTTGACCAGGATTTCTGGCTGCAGCGGCTCCTCAGAGCAAATCTATCCTTCCCAAACAATCCTCTATCACTGTATTGCCTGGACGACAGACTGGGAGATTTATAGGAGAAATCCGCACACAACTGGTCCAGCTCACCTCGCCTTCCTTCAAGTTACTGGAGAGGTTCCCGAAATTCAGGCCACGTTACAGTGTCTCCAGCTGAGGATCCACCCAACCGTGAGTTGTCCAAAACCAGCACTTGTTTCTCAACCATCAAACGTATCCGGGAGGTGCCGGACTCAGAGAGACAATCCCCACGCCAGGCTCACAGTGCAAACTGGTCCTACTGGGCAGCTGCAGGGCCATGGTCTGTTCTGCTCTTCCCACCAGCGCTGATGCCCATCAATTCGCAGAAACACGAACGTGTATGCTCATCTTCACAACGTGCCCATCATGTTCTGGGTTATCAGAGAGATCACGGCAACCTGGGCAACAACAGTGATGGGAGATTTTTTCTCCTGCTGGAGAGCAGCTCTGCGGAGA